TACTTGTCTCATTACCACTCAAATGATGTGAATTTTATCTAGCTTCTGTTTCGTTTATTCTAAGTTTTAAGAAAATAAATTACATTAAGTGGAAAATTCTTTCTTTTTCCGTGCAATAAGAGACAAGAAGTAGCATAGAGTGATATAGCTTGATGAGTTTAAGATTCTTATCCATAGAGAATGACTTGAGAAAATATCATGATAGTTCTGACAAATTCGACTAGCAAAGATTGAACAACTTTGATTTTATATATTCGCTCCATTACACGATAACGATAATTCATTTACCCCAAATTGGAGTGAATCAATAATATTACAAAGCTTTCAAAGAAAACTGGTGGAGAGACTGTGTTTGACACGATTTTGAACATCTGAAAACAGAAACTTCAAGAACAATATTTGTTCTATGTTGTTTGTGAAGAAAATGTTTGGAAGAAATGTGCAAAAGTCTCTTGATACGCTCTGCATGCTTTATTTTTCTTCTCTAACTTTATTTTTCAATTATGCAGATAAACTAGTAATCGATGGTAGAAAATGTCAATGCCGCAGTGTCATGTTTGGAAATACTACAACGCCTATAGTCTATCATAGACTTGAGCTTCAAACATAATTAAAAATTTAGGATTTCAATTTGATCATTCACAACCAAAATCAACAAACCCATCGTATGTGCTTTTTCAGTATCTTAATTTTCGTACAAATGCACGTCCATGATTGATTAATATCATATTGCCGATGGGTACATTCTTACTTTGATCAAAGGAACACATCTTTTCTTCATATAAATAAAAATACAGGGAATGAATTTTGTTTTTTGAAATAACTCATTAGATGTAGAAGACAAATGAAAGTCTCAAACGACTTGACTTTCTTTCACGTGTATTCTGGTACAATAAAAAGCACAAACTCACAAGATTGCAAATAATAAATAGAATCACAGTTCTAACAAGAAAAGAATTAAACTAAATTAAGTATTCAGAGCAGTTTTCAGTGGAGAAAAATCATGATTATAAACGCTTATCACTATTTATGTAGAAGAGATTGACTTAGATAAATGCTTCAACAATTATGCAATATCAATCACGCTTCAAAATGCCAAGAAAAGGGATGATCACTTTCTTTGCCATTTATTACCGTTTTTTGAGCACAACAGGTGAATGTGATCGTATAAACGGAATTTTTACCGTTTTGTATCTTTCTACGACACCCACCCTTAGCAATAAATAAGCTAGTATATAACCATTTTTTATGCATGTGTATTGCCAACAAGTAATTCACGAATAAGGGTTATATTAAATTGTTCAATGAATGGATTAATATCATTTTTACAATAAACTTAAGTTTATCATTTCACGTCAGAAACTATTAATTTCATCATAGAAATTTGGTTTGAAAATCAAAAGAACTTGATTATTGAGATTTTGAAGAGAGAACCAATTTTAATAGCAAAAGAAAAACGATCCTTATGTTTTCAAGATTGATCACTCCGTATCTTTTTCAAATACCTTGACGAATTAATGGTTCTATTAGACATTTCATATAATTTCCGATATTTAATATAATTTTATTAAATATTATCCATTTCAATTTCAAATCAATCAACTTTATGTATTAATTCATTGAATAAAAATTTATCGCTCAAAACTGCTAAGTATGCATCAAAATAATTTTCATTTGCCTATGTTGTCATAGATAATATTCTGAATAGTTATTATGTTCCATAGTTTAATTCATAAACCTTTAAAATCTATAATACTTAAATACGAATTATGATGAAAACTTTATCAATTGTTTAAAAAAAAAATCAACAAAACAAAATATAATAAAAGTTTTGTTTAATAATTAAAAAATGTAAACACATTTTTTCATTAGATGAGTGGTCGTCGTTCCCACGATGTTTTATTAGCTACAGGTGAAAAATCAATGAATGCTTTATCGATTTCATTTGCTGTAGGTGTTAAATAAAGACCAAACCATTCATCAATAACATCTTCTGAATAAAGTTCCATTAAACGACGATTTAATGTTTTCTGAACTAACAATAGATCTTTTTGTAAAAATCTTAATTCAGATAAACGTGAATGAAGTTCATGACGACGTACAAATAAATGTTTTCGGTTATATTCTGGTGCAATTGTATTCAAAATTTTTAAACGATTTTGGATTTTTCGAAGAAGTACAGATAAAGATGAAATACCTGACCAAATGGAAAGACCTAAAAAAAATATAATTTAATACATACAGAGGACATGTATATGGGTCATTGCAGGCAAAAGGAGACATATTCACCTTACATTCGACTTTGATTCTTTACAAGAGTTTTTTTTTT